TTTAGCTTTTCTAGACAGGGTTTCTCTGTGTAGTGAGACTGTCCTGGAACTCACTCTGGAGACCAGGCTGGCTTCGAACTCGGAGATCCACCTGCCTCTGCCCCACAAGTGCTGGGATTAAAGGTATGCACCACCATTGCCCAGCCAATGCTCTAATTTTTAGAAGCACTTTTTATATTTATTTCTATTCTGCAGATGAAAATAACGAAAGCTTATTGGTAACTTATTCATGTCACACAAGTAGCTGCTGAAAGTTGGGATTCAGGGGCTGGGACTGTCTCAATGGTTAAGCACAAGCATGAGGACTGCTTTGGGTCCCCAGAACCCACATAAAAGCCAGGTGGGTGTGGTGGCCCCTACAATCCCTGCATGTGGGAGGAGCAAACTGGGAACTCTTGGAAGCAGCTGGAAGAGATTCTGCCTTGATATGTACGGGGGAGAACACATGAGAACGACCTTATCCCACATTACCCTTGGGATTCCACATGCATACCACACACATACATACCAAAAAGAAAGAGCAGGAGGGGCCAAACAAAGGTGTCTATTTTCATTGCCATCAGAGAGAAAGTCTTCTAGTTACCTGTTTTAGATCTAGACAAATTGTTATCAAACAGGAATGTGGTCTGATTTTAATCACTGAAAAGATTTTGGACTTAATGACCACAAATACAAAGTAATAACACTCTCTCACAATCAAACATTCTCCTACTAGTTTGTCTTACATCACACTCACCTTGCCCCCTATCCGGACCTGAGCTTGAAGTTTGGCTAACTTTTCTTGATTCATGCTGTTGGTAAATCTAGGGGGGGAAAATAGATTTGTTAAATTTACTCTTTTACCAAAGTTAAAAATTTATTTATGCAAATAATACCTTTTGTTTCACTGAGCTTGAAGTATGTATTAACATCATAACCTTATCATTACTATCTATATTCATAATGGTGATAACCTGTTCTAGCTTCACAAACCAATTTTTAAAATAATTAAATACCACACTAGAGTCAAACATACAAATAGCAAATGAATGGGGTTCAAAGTCGCCTATTTAAAGATCCTTTCTTAAAACATGACTCAGTTCTCTGGTATTCAGAAAAACCTAACCAATTATGAAATCTCAGTAGGCAAGCAGGCTTTTTCTTCCAAAGACTTTCAAAGCAGAGAACAGTTACCCCAAATGGTATTAGCAAAACCTTCAAGGAGATTGTTTTCTCTGGAATCACATTCTGTATTTCTTATAAAGGAAAAATATGACACGAAGGAAAAAGGATAGGCAAAGAAGAAATTGAACAATGGGCTGTCAGGCTGTCAAATATAAGCAAGTCACGTCCTCTGTTCAAGGTCAGATGTGTTCATAATGGGAAACTACCAGATTTACGAACACCGGCTAATTCACCAGCACTGAGTTAGTTCATCCTAGACCTTGCACTGATAGAGTATGTCACACTTAACAAGGTATTATTGCATATAGGGTAAAATGTTTCACTTTTCACTGCACAATTTGACAAAGATGTATCTTGGCTACATTAAGTTCGGAGAGGAAAAAAAAAGCTTTTCTAGCAAATTTTGACATTTGAAGATTCTAAGGACATTATAAAATCATGAATTCTAGTCTGGTTAGTGACACTCCTGCTGGAGAACAACATGCCATGTTCTAGAAACAAATAAAAGCTAATTCAAGTCTTGTTTGACTTGCTCTGTGACTCACCAGATCATTACTAAGATGTGAAGAAGGGAATAGGCTATTATTAAACTTTTTTTCTTTTACTAATTCTCTAACCTTGTAATTGGGTCATTCAGATGAGAAGAGTACCATTTTTTACATTTGAAAAGAGAAAAAAAAAAAAAAAAAAAAGAAAAAAAAGAAAAAGGAAGAGAGAACCAAAGCATGTAAAGCATGTAAAACTACTAACCATTCTGAACTGGCATTGGACTTAGGGAACTGACCTGATATATCACTGCTGTAAGGCTGAATCCATTTCCCAAATAAAAATTAGAACCCATGGCTTCTCACTTTGTTCAACATTCTATCACGATGGTCAAGCAGCTACAACTCTTGTACAGGAGGAGCTGTGTGTAGAATCCAAAGTCTTAGATGTGTGCCAATCTTAGCTCTGCCACAGACTTAAATTTGCTGACTAAACCTCAATCTTATATTCAAACATTCACAAAAGAACTAATGTTCATTTTCCTCTAAGGACTACAGCTATGAAGGTATGGTGAAATAAAGCATTTACATTTCTTGCAAAAAGGAGGTCAAGAGAAAATATTAGAACTAAACATAGGACAAGCACTTTGGGACTATTCTGCATTTTGAGTAATAATCCCAAAGAAGAGAGGTGAAGGTTGAAAGACAAAAGAGTTCAGATTTGTTTGAAGCAAAATTCTTTCTTATGATGTAGAGGAAAGAATGATCCCATTCCAGGTGGTCTGGGTAAGAAAATTAAGAAATCTCATCCTAAGGAGCACCTCGGAAAAGAGGGACACTTTAGGGAGCTTGGGAGCTTAAAGCAGGAGGGGAGGGAGAAATGTGGCCTTTTGTCTCTCAGCTGTTGGGCTGTGTAGGATTCAAGTAGGAAAGAGATTTAGATTCAGTTTAATCTTTACTTGGTATCTTTAATTGTACCTGTCATTCTTGTTTTGTGTGTGATATCATCTCAGATACCCGATAGTGCAGCAGGGCATAAATTATAAACAAAACAGCCTTATTTCTGGTTTAACCGAAAATAAAGGCCTCCCAAAGGGAGAAGCCATTTCCCAGGGCCACATGATCAGAGTTGAGTCTGCAAGAATCCCTTTTGGAGGGATTCGTTTCTCAAGGATTCCCGAAAGAGTAAAATGAGATGAATCAGTATTTATTGAATGCCCAAGTTCAGGTACTTGCATATACATCATGTTTACACAAAGATAAAAATAATTTGAACTTTCGACCCTGACTTTTTAATGTGAGATTCTCTAATAGTAGCAAAAGCTGTGGAATCAGAAAGCCCAAGGTTTTGCCTCTTAGGGCTTTGGAAAGGTATTTAACTTCTTTGAACTCATTTGTTTCTCCTGCATTAAGAAAAGTATACCACCACATACTTTACTGGGTTGAAGGATAAAGCTTAGATTACCAAGTTAATGCAAGACACTTAATAGTTGGTAACTATTGTTACCACTCTTCCAGAGGACCACTGATGATATAATGAAAGAACGTGGGAACGGAAGTTGAAACCGCCATTCACTAACTGTGTAACACTGTGCCTGGCGATCAGTCAATCGGTGTGATGAGGTTATAAGGACCGGCTAACTGTCTCAGAACCAAGTTAGACTTGTAAACAAACACTGCCATTAAAAAGTGAAGAGCGCTGCAACCTAGTTCGGGCCCAGGAGGTGGGGGGCCGGGTGCTAACCTCAGTTTCCCTATCCGTAGATTGGGAGGAGCAAACGAGATGACAACAGATAAGCTGTACAAAGCTCAAAGAGTCTGACACTGTTGTTGTGAATAATGAGTGATGGGACGTGGAGGGTTCTACCCTCCTGGGACTGGATCTGCAAGGCCAGAGCCCGGGCCCGGTTCCTCCACAGCGGGCGATGGTGCTGGGGACCTTCCCTCAGGTGCCGACCCCCAGCTGCGCCGCCCGTAACCGACAGGCCGGGCCGGCCGCCTCCGCCCCCACTCGCCGCGCCACGGCGGGCGGAAGTGGCAGCCCGAGCGGACGGCGGGTGTCGGGAGGGGAGGGCGGGGGGAGACCGTGCGCAGCGGCCGGAGGCCGTGGGGTGGCGGGCCCGCCGGGGGTCTCACCTGCAGCGGGGAGGGTCCTCCAACACCAGCACGCGGCAAGAGCAAGATGGCTGCCTCAGCTGAGACAGAGAAAGACCGCGGCGGCGGCGGCGGCGGCGGCGGGAGCGGCCCACGTGACGCACGGCCCCGCCTCGCCCGCGGGAGGAGGGGTGGGGAGGGCATGGCATCCGCGCGCCTCCCAACTACAAAGCCCAGCCTGCCTCGCGCACCCCAATATTCCGATTGGCCGCGCGCGGGTGCGGGGACCGAGCTGCATCCTGGAGGTGGCGGTCCCCTCGGCGTCCCATTGTGTCTCGCTAACCTTTTGTCTTGGGCCTAACGGAAAGGCCGCCTGGGATTTAGTTTGGGTGTATACTTTGTTTGGATGTCGTTCACTGAGCGCTAAGTAAGCTCTGATGGACTCCAGTAGTACCAGGAGGCAAGGTCGGGGAATGTTGACTTGTTAGGTAGTAGAAAGGAAAGACATACTCGACCCAAGACAGAAACCAACAGATTTAACGGAAAGAAGCTTTACACTTTAAGTGATTGTAGTGACTTATGTCCGGGTTCCCTCGGCCCACCCCATCAGTTGTGCAATAGGAGGCCCCAAACAACCAACTGAGCTTGCGTCAGTTGGTTGCATCATGTTTGAGTGAAAGACTTGAGTGCGGATGCAAGGCGGAGAAAAGGTCCAGAGCTTCTCCAAAGTGCATGCCTGCAAGACAGACGCGTGCACAGCAAAACGGGCTTACTGGGTCTCTTCGGAATCCCAAGCAGAAATCTAAAAATGAAATGCTGTTGTTCAGTCTTTTTAATTTGTACGGGGAACGGGAAATTGCAAGCCAATGAGTGACCTGTCCTCTGTTGTGAGAAGCTGATCTCACAGATAATATTTGCATTTTGAATATTTAGTACAGTGGTCCTTGGGAGGGAGGGGCTAGACTGGAGGTCAGACGCAATTAACAACGGTTTTCCGGAACCTCTCCCCAGCCCCCACCATCTCGGTCCACCTTATCGGGCTGTGTCCCTGGGCTAAGACATCCAGGATTTAGATAAAGCAAACTCGAAATGTACTCCCCCAGCCTACGTGATCTGCACCTTTAAACTTACTCCATTCCAAAGCGGACCCCGGAGGAACCGCCCACATCCGTCTAACATCACTTCCTTCAGTGTTTGAGGGGAAAAAAAAAGAGAAAGAAATCTAGGAATCCGAGGGGTTGGGTTGAGCGGCGATAGGAGAGCGGAGCGGACCCTCTGCTGGTAATCTCGGGTTCCCTCAGTCCAGTGACCCTGTGCAGCTACCACCGTGGAGATGTCGCTCCGTTTCGAGGCCACCTGTTTGCTGTGCTTCAGTTTCCTGCTCCTCATCGCTTCTTCAGCAGGACGCATTGGACTTGGAAAGGGTCAGACCTCGTTCTTACTGTAATCTTTGTCGACCCCGAGCTGTTTTCTTGTCCTAACACTTTTCTTCTCTCGCTGTGTCTTAGGCCACACCAGATTCCTTTTTATCTTACTCAACTGCTTCAGGAGATTTCTTGGGGTAGAGAGTACCATGTCGGGAGAGGATTTAAGAGAGAGAAGTTGTACTTGAGGTTTGCGAAGATATGGCCTTTAATTTAGGACTAGGTTGTTTTAAGAGTCCAACATGTGTAGTGTTGGGTGCTTGGGAAGCCTTTAGAAACCGTCACCATTCTGCCAGAAGAAACAGGGTCGCTTGTTACCTGTGTATCAGAGATAGCCGCTTGGGTCTGAAGATTCCTCACTACCAGGAGATGCAGAAGAAAAAAAAACAAATGAAGGCTAGGTCTTCTGCTAGGTTATCAACAGTTGTCTTTGGTGTTGCTCAGCTAGTGTGTTGGATGAAACTGATTTTTTAGATTGAGGGGTCAGTGGTTACGAATGAAGGTTAGGAAGTGTGAACCGTACTCCAGCTATTACCCACATCTTTCTGAACTTGAATACATTCTCATCAGTTCTTTTTTGAAAGCTGAATGGAGTAACTGGGTGAACTGTAAATGGATCCCAACCCTGCTTTGATTATTTTTGTGTCTTGACCTTACTGTATGGGTTCCTCCTGCTGATGCTGGTGGTGTGTATGTATGTGTGTATGCGTTAAGTGTGGTATTTGCCCACGTGTATGCTGGTGCATGGCACACGTGACTAAACCAGAAGAGGATGCTGGATGTTTTTTCTCTTCTGCTTGTTCTCCACCTTATGAGACAGGGTTTCTCATTGAACCTGAGCTCACCGTTGAGGCTAGAGTAGCTGGCCAGCTCCTGGGATCCTGTTCCCAATGTTTGGAGTTATATGCATGAATTGCCATGCCAGACTTCTATAATACCGTTAAGATTTGAACTCAGGCTCTCTTGTCTTCACAACTATTCATATCCAATGAGGTATCTCCAGGCCCAATCATGCTGTTTTGATTAATTACTTATTTTTTTCGAGATAACATTTTTCTTTGGAGCCAGTCCTGGAACTCACTCTGTAGACCAGGCTGGCCTCGACCTCAAAGAGATCCTCCTGCCTCTGCTCCCAAGTACTGGGATTAAAGGCTTGTGATGCTGCCATCACTCAGCTATTGTTTGGATATAATGTTTCTCATTTTTGCATTCCTTGCTGGGCAGTGAGATTGAGTGAAAACTCAGTGGACCTGAATGCAGTTACCTATGTTAGTATTGATTTTTGATTGCCAGTCATATTTTGGTCATTGACTTGGGTACTAAAGACATGGCAATAAAGAGAATAGACAAAGTTTTTGCTTCCATATTCAAGTCACAAAGAGAGTGAGAATAGGATAGATTCATGTCAGATTAATAAGAGATTTCAGCTTTTATCATATAATACTGCAGTAGAGTGGGAAGTAAAAAAGCTGAGGAGGGCAAGGGAGCTGCCATTTACTTGAGTTATGAAGATGAGAAAAGACTTTTCTAAGGTGATGTGTGGATTTCTACCTACGAAGGAAGTGGTAAATTGCACAGTGAGTCCTAGTAGGTCAAAATGTTTCAACTACTCATAATCCTATTGTAAAACAGACTGTCCTATGTATTGCTTACATATAGATTCTGTAGTCATAAGATTACATCATACTTACCCCACCTTAAAAAAGAAAAAAAGGGTTACCCGAGGCAGGAGTTCCCAAGATTTTTAGTGAGTCTTGTCTCTTCCAGGATGTCTAAATAGTTCCAGCTCTTTCCAGAAGATACCTTGGCCGTGTGCAGAGAGGAAGGACTGAGTGACCCTTCCTACCTTCTCCCAGAAGTTTTCCTAGTGAAGAGCAAACACAGCAGTGTGGAGTGTGTGCTATACTGGAATTATTAGGCTTAGATTTTAATCTTGGTCAGGCTGGTTAGCCAGGTCTGGTCTTTCTCCGTGACCATTTATTATTAAGTGTGAGGGTTGGACTAGAAATGTGTTCGGAGGGTCTTGCAGCTCTAACATTCCACTGTCTGAAAACACTCACTCTTCTCTATTGACTAGAATCTAAAATATGTCATCCATGATGAGAAGCATGACTAACATTTACTTCTTGTATGCTAGCTTCAGGCACTGATCTGTCCATTTTTTTATACAGTGACTAATTCTCATAGTAACTCTATGAGAGTGGGTAATATTTTTCTTGTCATCCCCATTTCACAGATGAAAAATCTAAAACGAAGCATTAGGAGTTAATTAGGAAGTAGACAGCAGAAAGATCAATCCCAGAGCCCATGTCCTTAACCAGTACACCACTCTGGCCTCCAGTGCAGAGGAAAAAACTAGCCATTCATGTCCTCATCCTGCCTGTAATAGAAATAGATGACATCAGTCTCTGGAATTACAAGTTGACACAGTAGCATTCTATGCCCTGTTTATAGCCACAGTCTATTCAGCATTTGTGCAAATGATAGAAGGGCTGAACTAGGATTGCGCTCAGCTTTCTGACTGCAGCCATCACTTGGCCACACTGTTACTCTGCCTTTAAGTACAGTGTTCCCTATCTCAGGCCTGGCTGCCAGCTCTGACACTTGACCTTCCCTTATTTAGGTTTACCAGCTGGAGTGTGGGTTGATGCCTTTCTAATGTCTTTAAAACAATCTTTAGGACAAAGAGCTTGGACAGTGACATAAATGCAGTGTTTGCAAATGGCTTTTCCTGTTTTAAACATCATCTGGGGGGAAAAAAGGAGCTGCTGAAGTGGGAGCCCTTGGCTTCCTTTGCAGATGACTGGCATAAACTCTTGCAGGTGACACCACAGGAAACTGAACTGTCTTCATGGGTTCCATGCTGCCGTGGCTTAGGGTTATGGGTGCTTACAACTGTACCTATGTAAGTCTTTCCCAAGAGGAAAACGAAAATGAAACAAAATGTCCCCAGGCATTGGTGTTCTCAAGGTGCATTCCTTCATTTATTTTTTAACTTTCGTTAGTGAATCCTGGAAGTGTAGTGGTTGGCTCTAGCTGTAGAGATGCAACCACCTGCATTCCAGTTCTAGCTTTGCCTCTCACAGGCTTGTGGCCCTCGGCCAGCTCGGTAACCTCAGTCCCCTTATCTGTAAGAAGAAAGGATAGAGTTAGCACCTCATAAGGTTATTCTGAGGAAAAATAAATTAATACCTGTAAACACATTTTAAAAACTGCTATGCTTAAAAATATATTATCAATTTTGTTTTTGTTTTCATAAGCTCTTACACTTTTCTTCTTGCATCTGTGATAAATTCAAGAGAGCTGGTTACCTCCCCACCTGCCTCTAAGTTGCTATTTTAATGTATCTATTGATGTTTTTTAAAACTGGGCAAACAAAAGAGAAGTCTTGAGAGGTGGTTCAACAGAAACATTTGCTAGACAAGTGTGTTAACTTATGTTTGATTCCTGGAACCCCCGTGAAAGTGAAAGTAGAGAATTTATTCCATAAAGTTTTCCTCTGACCTCTACACAAGTGCTGTGGCATGCACTCCCATGTGCACATATGCACACATACTTACACACACACATTAAAAAAAGAAAAAGGGAAAAGGAAAGATAGAGCAGAAAATACACGTATGCCTTTTGTCTTTCACACTACTCATATTAGCACTGACACATTTACTAATGAAGATCTCCAGTTTATATTATGTTGAACTCTTGGTGTATCTTTTGTGCATTTTGACAAATGTAATCACACTATTAGATTAAGTGGGACTCTGTTTATCTTGATGTATGTGTGTGTCCATGCATGTGGAGACTGGAGGTCAACCTCAGGTGTTGTTTTTCAGATGGCCATCCATTTTTGTTTTTGAGAGAGGGTCACTCTTTGGGACCAGGCTCAGCTAGCTGGCTAGTGAACTCTAGGGATATTACTTATGTATACCATCAGGCCTAGCTTTTTACATGGATTCTAGAGATTGAAGAGGTTCGTCACCCTTGTGCTTTAGAGACTGAGCACTAAATTGGATAGTTTAAACAACAGAGATTTATTTATATTTTGATTGATTCTGAAGGCTTAAAGCAGAGATCAAGATGTTGGCAGGGTTGATTTCTGCTTGTTATGGCTCTCTTTTCTCTCTATATTAACATGGTCTTCTATCTGTGTATATTTAATCTCCTCTTTGAAGAATTAGGGCAAACTTCATTACTTCTTTAAAGACCATGTCTTCAGTCAGTGTTATATTATAACATACTGAGGATTAGAACTTCACCATAGATAGGGGGAGACATTATGCAGTGTTCAGGCTCTATCAACCTGGATTTGACTGTGCACTATAGCATTATAACATAGCTGGTGTCACAAGCCCATGTAAAGTGGGCTCTGGGGCTCCAACTTTACTGCCTGAGATAGCTCCTCAGCCTCTGGTTTGTTTGTTTGTTTGTTTGTTTGTTTGTTTTTGTTGCTTGATTTTGAAACTAAATTGAGTGAAGCCCATGCTGACCTCAAAACTGAAACACTTAGTGTGACCTTAAACTTAGGATCCTCTTGTCTCCACCTCTTGAATGCTGGAATGGCAAATGTACACATACTACCTTTTCCTGGTTTAGATTTGACAATTTATTTTGTGGTTCCATGAGTTATTTCTCTAAACACTTCATATGTAGTTTTTGTTCTCTTTTGTTTTTAATTCTGTGGTTGATAATCCTAGTACCTAAAACCCTCATGCTCTAACTCTGCTGCTTCTGGTGATGTGTGTGTGTGTGTGTGTATTTGTGGATCTATGGTGGTGAACTCACAATAGTTGTTCATCGTTAACTACCCTAGAGTCCTTATGTGGGGACTGTTTTCCTCTAGAAAGGTTTGATATTTACTAAGGGTGGGGGTGGGTGGAAATGAACTGGGTTTCAGACCTGGAATCCCTCTAGTTTTCTTTTGTTTGTTAGTAGGAGAGTCTCAGGCTTATCTCAAGTTCACCAAGTCATAACAAATGTTTGCTTTTGGGGTGGGTGGCCTCACCTTTTCTTGTTCTGACTTCAGCTGACTTTGTGTTTGCCTAGGGATTTCCATTATTGCTGAGATTCCATTCTGAAAGACTGTTTTATCTAGGATGTCACTGTTGTATGTGTGGGTGGGTATCCCTGCAGGTCCTTTAGTCCTGCACGTTTCCAAAGCAGGATTCAATTGTCCAGGTTTGAGGCTTGTGATTAGAGAGATGAGGAACACCTTCGGTACCTTCCAGGGCTGGGCATCCTCCCAAATTCACTCTTGATGATTCACTCTTCAGGATCAAACCCTGGGCCTTAGGCACGTGACACTCCCCCTCCCCCTTGGCCAGCAGCCTGTGCTGTTGAGATGGAAAAATGATGATCGTTAGTTTGACAATTGCTCCTGTGTGTTAACACTGCGAAAATTAGATTGTAATTTATTTGGGGAAAATAAATTTCTGAAAGACAAATGTAGTGACTGAAAAGGCACAAGGTTGGATGTTAAATCCCAGGTTGGTTGTTTAGCAGTGACATAACCTGGTATAGCTTACTGGCTTCTCAGAGTCTCAGCTGTAAAAAAAAGCAGAAGCTGCTCCATAGTGATGTTCATATGTTGTGTTAACGTTTTTATGTTCTTGTTTATTATTCGGCAATGATAGGTAGGAGAGACAGTTATTGTACCTATTTGAATTCCGGGAAGTATAGAGAGGGGAAATGGTGAATTCTTGTCAAGGTAACGTGAATTGGCTTGTATAATGTGCTGTACAAATGTAAGGTAGTTCATAATAGCAGATACAAGGAACATCACAGAAGAGGGGGCAAAAAGAATAAAAGCCAGAGGATGGGAAGGAGAGCTGTGAAAGACTCTCTTCTGGACCAGAACTCACAGCATCTGTGACTGCCTGTACAAGGGTCTCACAAGGCCTCAGTCCCCTGTGAGAAGGTATAGGTAAAAAGGCTACTGGACACACCAAAAAATGAGTTCTTAGCACAAAGAAGATTTATTTGCCCCAGAGGGATAAAGGGCAAGGAATAAGAGACAAAGACAGGAGATAGAAGAGGAGGAGGGAGAAGAGAAAAGGGGCAAAGAGGGGGGGTATTTGTCCTGGAGGGACAAAGGATGGCCTCTGGATAGAGAGGAGACAGACGTGGCACATAAGCCAACGGCAGTTTATAAAGAGAAAGGGGGAAACCCTGTGTTAGGATGAGTTGGTTTCTTTTAATTAATTGGGCATGTTAACTAGGGTTTTAACTTAAGAATTTAATAATTCTCTAACTAATAGAGCCAAAAAGGGGGCTTTTGATTACTCGACTTCAACACTTTGAAAGCTAGACCTTGGTGGTCAGCCTCAGGAAGAGGAAGTGGCCAAATAAGGTGGCTGACTTAAGAATGTAATCTATGGGTTAGCAAGGAGGAGAAAGGTAAAAGGCAAAACCTGTGGAGCGATGTCTGCCTTGGGCTTGCTGGAGCCCTATAATAGATATGTAGCTCAGTGGTTGCTGGAGAAGGAGTCATTCCACAGTGGTGTAGCCATTAGTAAGTTGCCCTTTCTCAAGTAGGTAACCTCCCACCCAGGCTCATTCAAGCAACCCTAATTAAATGGACACATACACACACAAATAGGAGGGTGACTTACTAGGAAGAAAGGCTTTAATGGGAGGGAAAAGAATAAATAAATGTAAATAAATAGCAGCCAGCATTATGATCACTAATGTTTTCTGGATATAACATCAGATTTTCAAGAACTCTTTCTTTTATGGAGTACATACAACAGTCATGTGTACTGCTAAGTGCTAGGGAAACAGGAAAAGATCCTAGAGGTTTGGTCCCAGCATTTAGGGAATTCCTTTTGGAGTGAGGGAAATGGACACACAAACGTTTGAAGATTCTGTCTGGAAAATGCTGTGGTGGGACAAGAATGGAGTGGTTTGAAAGTAGGCCCTATCAGAAGAAATGCCCCCTGGGCTTACACCTTAGTGCTGAGTTAGTTGGAGGCAGGAGTTGGAAAGAAAGGCAGAGGTGAATCAATTATGAAAAGCCTGGAGGGGATAGGGTACAGTGCTGCATGTAAAAAGACAGAAATATTTCTGTGTCATGAGTCATAAGAAAAGTATAGAGTGAGGTTGCAAAAGTGGATGGGACGCTTTTATTTGTTTTGTTTCTTTGTTTTTAAGACAAGGTCTCTGATGTAGGGTTAGCTGTCCTGGAACTCTATGTATACCAGGTTTGCCTTGGAACTCACAGAGGTCACCTGCTGGCTCATCTCCCTAAGTGCTAGAACTAACGGTATGAACCACCACACCCAGCTAGGTCTTTCGTCTTATTTTTTAAGACAGGTTTTCTCTGTGTAGCGTTGACTGTCCCGTGGAACTCCGATTTGTAGACCAGGCTGGTCTCAAACTCTTACAGATCTGCCTGCTGTGCCTCCCAAGTGCTGGAACTAAAAGGATATGCCACTACTGCCCAGCCAGGTCTTATTTTCATACTGAAGCCTTTGTAAGTGATCCTTTGAGAGTTGACTTTTTTTTTTTTTTTTTTTTTTTTTTTTTTTTTTTTTTGAGATAGGGTCTCTCTGTGTAGCTCTTGCTGTTCTTGAATTCACTTTATAGACCATGCTGGCCTTGAGCTCATGGAGATCTTCTTACCTCTGTGTCCTGAGTGCTGGGATTATAGGGGTGTGCCACCACCACCCTTGGAGAGTTGACCTTTCATCCTTGTAACATTAGATATCCTCTGGAAATTTCCTTACTAAGCAGTTATGTAATTGAAAAAGATCATGGGGGCAAGGGAGATGGGTCAGCAGGTAAAGATGCTTACCACAAATCTTGCCAACCTGAGCTCAGTCCCTGGGACTCACATGGTGGAAAGAGAAGGTCAGCTCTTGAAGGTTGTCCCCGGACTTCCACACAGAGGCTGTGGCGTATGCATATTTACAAAGAGGTAAACAGATGTAGCTTTAGAGAGAGAGAGAGAGAAACATTCTGGCTGAATTGTAGGAATAATGACAATTGATGCACCTACCTGACCTCATTTATTAGTTCCTTATACCGATATTCAGAGGTAGAAATTAGTGTCTTGATTTTATAGAAGGCGAGATTGGGGCTTAGATGACTTCATTCAAAACCACATACTTAATGGGAATTGAAGTTACAGACCCATGTCTTTGTGACTCTAAAGCTGTACCATGTGTCATTTCAGTGATGTTTTCTGATTAGAGTGTAGGACATTCTCATTCATTCCTACAGTATTGTTGGCATAGCATTTCACATCATTATTTAATCCCCATAACAATTATGAATTAGATGGTATTATCTCCATTGAGAGGCATGAAAACAGGCTTGTGGAGTAAGGACTAGTCATGGTTCAATATACCCAGAAAACAGTGAGCTGGGTGTTGAGCATCAAGCTCTTAGCAGAGGAAAGCCATTTTTTTCCCCTTGCTTGTGGATCTATTACAAATATGTCTTACTTCTTCCTGTGCTATGTGTGCTCTTTGTTCATTTTATGCATGTTTATAAGGCTCTTTCCTCCTAGGTTTTGGAGATCATATTCACTGGAGGACTCTAGAAGATGGGAAGAAAGAAGCAGCTGCAAGGTATAAAGCATGGTGTTGCGATGTTTACACTAACAAAACTTTCTAGCCATTATTTTATCATTGCTTTCAGGTGAAGGGCCATGTCAAAGCCCCACAAGAACTAAATACTTTCCCAATAACAAAAACTCAGCACTTACGTGTACTGGGAGTTAAATAATCTGAATTAACTCATTTAGTTTATTTATTTTATGTACATTGGTGTTTTGCCATGGGTGTCAGGTCCCCTGGAACTGGAGTTACATATAGTTGTGAGCTGTCATGTGGGTGCTGGGAACAGAACCCTGGGTCCTCTGGAAGAGCAGCCAATGCTCTTAACCACCAAGCCATCTCTCCAGCCCTAATTTCCACATTTCTATGAAGTATTTTTATTTTCTTTTTTAGCAATGAGGAATTAAGCCACTTAACAGTTAATTTTTTCTGGACCATAAGTTGGTATAGAGCAGAGCTGTGTTTCCAATATCTCTTTAGGTCCTTTCTAAAGAGCTTGTGCTCTCAACCAGGAAGTTATACTGCATACTAGCCTAAAGCTAAAACAGTGTTACATTTCAGGCTTGTGTAAACAATCCTATGTGTAAAGGGCTGGGGGAGGAGACAGAGACCAGGAACTGTCATGTTTATAAGGATTGGTTTGTTTAGTCTTCACAACCTCTGAGACTGGTACACCTATGAAATAACTGTTATATTTTATAGAAAAGAATACAGAAAATACTTTCCTGTATTCAAACTGCTATGAAGTGGCAGAGCCAGGACTTTCATTTCTCTACTGTACTATATTGGAGACTTACTCTACCCCAACCTATGTGTCCTGTATTATACCACACTACTGGCACAGACTTGCTCACACTTAACAGCTTCTGCACCTACCAAACTAGTACTTGCTGTTCCAGAACAGATCCTACAGTATCATGACACTGGGTCTCACACCTTATGTAGCAGAATTGCCAAATTTAATAATAGAAATAAAAGATACCCAGCTAAATTTAAATTTTACACAAAAGGAAAATAGAATATGTCAATGCAGCTAAGTGCAATTTTTAAACCTCTTAGATTCAGATTTAATTGGAAAATCTGCACTATGTTTGTTCTTTTTAAAAATTGTTTGTGGACACTTAATTCTCCCAGTTAAGACTCTTGATTTCCTTAGGGGGACAGTTTTATGTTCATATAATACCATGGGGAAAGATGTTGACGATTGAAATAGTTGTTTTGAGTAAACATTTACTAAGAGCTACAAGGTGTAAGAGAAATCCTGAATAGAGAAGCATGATTTGTAAATTGCTTTCTGTATGCTAAATATGGTGCTAGTGATTTTGTGGAATGCCCATTAAATCCTAATTAATAAATAGGCATTTTCTTTGACGACCGGGCAACCATATTCGCTTAAGCCTGTTAACATTTGGTGTAAAGAACTGATGCCATTCTGACCTCTGCGCCTCCCTTTCTGAGAACTAGTCAGTTCAGCATTCCGTTTCCATAGAAACAAGGGATCGGGTCAAAGCGTAGAGAAACAGGATGTTCAGGTTTCTTTTCCGGTTCATACCGGAAGTTGACGCAAACGTCCGCACATGGGTGGCCCTAGAGAGGATGCCGCTGGTAGTGTTTTGCGGGCTGCCGTCGAGCGGCAAGAGCCAGCGTACAGAAGAGCTACGCCGGGCTCTGGCGGCCGAGGGCCACACGGTGTACGTGGTGGACGATGCTTCGGTGCTGGGCGGTCAGGACGCGACGGTGTACAGCGACTCTGCCCGTGAGAAGGCGCTGCGTGCTGCGCTGCGGGCCGCGGTGGAGCGGCGCCTGAGCCGGCAGGACGTGGTCATCCTGGACTCGGTGAACTACATCAAGGGCTTCCGCTACGAGCTGTACTGCCTCGCGCGGGCCGCGCGCACGACGCTCTGCCTGGTTTACTGCATACGCCCGCTGTGGCCGAGCCGCCGATCTGAGGAGGCTGACGCCGCCGAGAACTGGGGTCTGCCTGTCAGTGTGAGCTGGAGGTCGCGCCTCGAGGAGGAGCAGCGCGCCGCCAGCCCGTTTGCAAATGGGGCAGTCCTGCCTGCCTTCTCCCGGGAACCGGATCCAGAAGAAATCCTGCCATTAAATCTTCCAGCGGTAGGCACCCTGGAGCCCGAGAAATCTGCAGAGCCTGCGCCTAGTGCCTTTCCTCCCGAACTTTTGGAGTCCTTATCACAGCGCTTTGAGGCTCCTGACTCTCGGAACCGCTGGGACCGACCTTTGTTCACCGTGGTGGGTTTAGAAGAGCCATTGCCCCTGGCTGAGATCGGGTCTGCACTGTTTGAGAACCGGGCCCCCCCACCCCATCAGTCCACGCAGTCCCAGCCCCTAGCCTCTGGTAGTTTTCTGTACCAGTTGGATCGGGCCACGAGCCAGGTGTTGACTGCCCTGATGGAAGCACAGAAGAGCGCCGTCCCTGGAGATGTGTTAACGCTTCCTGGCACCACAGAGCACCTCCAGTTCACCCGTCCCCTGACCATGGCGGAGCTGAGTCGCCTCCGTCGACAGTTTATTTCCTACACAAAAATGCATCCCAACAACGAGAACCTGCCTCAACTGGCCAACATGTTTCTTCAGTATCTGAGACAAAGTTTGCACTAATGGAGGTAGTGGGAGGCGGCGATGGTCCTGCCTAAATTCACTGTACATTGTTTATGAAGAATGGTCTAAAGGTGTGCAGAGCGCACTGTAGTACTAGGGTTGCTAAGTTTGACTGACTCGTCTTCTTGACTGCCTCTGTGCCTGTCAACACCTGCGTGTATAGCATAAGCTGAAGCATAGAGGTTAGCTCCAGAAATCTCAGGTGGGCAGGGTTTTTCTTTGGTTGGACTCTGCTTGGGGATACTGCTTCAGGATGGAGGAGGAGAATTGTTTTAAATCAACTGTGAGTAGAAAACGACGGTGATACAGTTTTGTACGGCCCTTCTTTCATACTACAAGTATTTTTGAGTACAGTACTTCTTGCTATCTACCCTGGAGCTTTGAACACAGATACATCATTTGTTCTGGGAAACATTTGTATAAAGACAACCATTAGGTATTTCCTCTAATAAAATCTTTTAAAATTGTCTCCTGGACTCTAATGTTATTCCCAAAACTTAATTCTAATATCTATCCATTTAAATGAAGGATACTATAATGGCAAAAAAGAACATTGGTTTTGGAATCGGTCTTTTTGTTAGCTCTTGTTAGTTTTAAGCAGAACTTAAATTTTATGTGGTCAGTTATTTAATCTCTTGGAAGTCTTGGTCTTTCTGGATGGGGCTGGGGATTGAATCCAGAACTTTGTACGTCTGGGCAAATACTCTACCATTGAGCTACATCATAGATTAATTTTATTTCAACGAGACCATTAATAGTATCCACCCTAGATGAGTGTGTTGGCCATATGCTTGTAATCCTAGCACTCAGGAGGCTGAGGCAGGAGGATTGCCTTGAGTTCTAGGCCAGTTTAGGTTACATATGAGATGGCTGATCATGCAAGAGTGCAAGCCAAACAGTCCCAAGTTCAATGCCCAGGACTACACCATGAAAGGAGAGGACTTCTGATCTCCAGTGTGCATGCTGTCTCCCTTGCTTGTTTGATCTCCTCCTGCCTGGAGCATTCATGGGTGAACTCACACTCAAATATAATTGTCACAATGGGCAGTGGTAGTATATACCTTTAATCCCACCGCACAGGGAAGCAAAGGTAAGCTGATCTCTGAGTTTGAGGCCAGCAGGGTCTACAGAGTTGAGTTCTATAGGACAGCCAGAGCTACACAAGAGAAACCATGTCCTGAAAAACCTAAATACATATTTTTCACATTCAAGTAAATATAATTATTTATTGGGGTGCAGGGCCTCACTACATAGCCTTGGCTAGTCTGTAACTCACTAGACCAAGATCGGCCTCCAGACTGCTGGAGTTAAAGCCGTGTGTACTACGCCTGGCTCATAATTGTGATTTTTTTTTTTTTTTATAGTTTCCACCCCAGGGTTGTTAGTAGGGCTGTGTAGTTTAATGCATTTTAGTTACAGTCACCTGCATCCTGTCATCTGTATACACTTGTCCTCCAATGGTTTATAAGCCTTTACTAATATCAAAGGCACAAGTCAGTTCATTCAGATTCTCAGTAAGCCTTAGGAAGGTAGCTAAATAGTTTACCTAACACTTTCTACATGAGCTACCATGTAGAATAGCACTGGTGTATAGTGAATACTGTGTTTGATACCAGTAATATTGTATGGTTATGGACATTGGGGATGTAGACACAGCACCTTGTCTCAGAAATTATAAATGTAATGGAGAGAATGCCTGAATAGGTGCTGGGAGGGGTGGGGGTCGGAACTCAAGCTGTTGTGCTTACACAGCAAGCATTTTACCCCCTGTGCCATCTCCCTGGTCCTATGGATAATTTCATATCCTAATTTTATACTTAGCATACTAATGGAAGGCTTTTTTTTTTTTACATTTTCAATTATTGTGTAATAATCACTTAGAGATACAATAACATCTAAAATATTGTAATTTGATGTTTTTAGGCTATTCTACTTTTTACTTTTAAAGCCCAAATTTTTAGAATCTATGGAAATGGAATTTGCAATAGTTCTTATAATAATAATCTATCAACTAGTTGGATTGTTTTACAGTTTTCCAATTGAAACCATTCAACAGTAATTTTTTTTTTTTTTGGTCTGTTTTTTTGAGATAGGGTTTCTCTGTGTAGTTTTGGCTGTCTTAGAACTCACTCTAGACTAGATGGGCCTCGGATTCACAGAGATCCACCTTCTTCTGCTTCCCAAGTGCTGGGATTAAAGGTGTGCACCCCCACCACAAAGCCAAGAACATTTCTATGCAGTACTCTCTGACTCAACAAACTGATTGTTTTGTTAGCATACTTTTGAAGGATTTTTACTAGAATATAATCTCTTTGTTTTTAAGTGGCTTGCCCCTGATGGTGATCATCCATAAATCTTGGTGTGGAGCTTGCAAAGGTAAGTACAAGTGTTTCACCTCGACTTCGGTCTTGAAATGTGTTATAATTGTTATAGTGTTGTTGCTGGCAGAGCACTGCTGTTTGCCTTGAGCCATACCAAAGAGATGTGACATATTCGCCCTCTTCATGAAATTTGAAGTTATTTTTTGCAGGGGGCTTGAGGAGGGATGGAGAGATTAAGAAACAGCTAGGTAGTGTATGAAGTTAGGCACTTTAATGTCATGGACAGGACATCTAAGCAGAAACTGGGATTCTGTACAGAGGAACATAAATGGTTTAGGGAAAGGAGAGAATCAGTTATAAGCAGAGGACATTTGACTGTGGTGTGTGTTTTTTATGCCTGCTATGTTACCAGTCAGGTTTTTTTCACTGATACACCTGGTTGAAAAGTGCAGCCGGGCATGTAGCTGCCCGTAATTCTAGCACTCAGAAGCTAAAAAAGAAGCATCGGCACAAGTTTGAGGTCACCCTGGACTACAGAGTGAGTCCCTGTCTCAAAAATAAAATAAGATGAATAAGAGGAGTGTAAAAGCCAGGTACTGTAGTGCATGCCTGTAGTCCCAGCACTTGGGAGCCTGAGGTAGGAGGAGCAGAAGGTCAAGGATAGCATGAGTTGCACTGAGAGACCCTGTTTTATCTTGAACTTTTAAAATTTCAGTTAACTTTTCTTTCATAATCATTTTATTTTATATTTTATTTTATGAATGAATTTTTTGCCTGCCTGGATATATGTGTACCACACTTAGGCTTGGTGCCTTCAGAGGATAGATCCCCTGAAACTAAAGTTACAGATATTTGTGAACCAGCCTGTGGATCTGGTTATCAAACTCAGGTCCTCTGTAAGAGCACTAAGTGTTCTTAACCACCAACCCATCGCTTGAGCCCAGCATTTTATTTATATTTATTGTATGAGTGTTTTTTCTTTTGTTTCGAGACAGGGTGTCATGGAGCCCAGGCTAACAGAAAACTCACTGTCTAGTGGAAGATGACCTCAAAGTGTAGATCTCCCAGCCTCCCAAGTGCTGGAATTACAGGCATGAGCCACTACTATACCTGGATACTGGGGATCTAAGATGGCACTGTGTGTGCTGAACAAGCACTTTACTAACTGAGCTCCACCCCCAACCCAAGAGACCCCGTTATAAAAAACAAACAAAAAGCCAGACATGGTTGGGCCTCCTTATCCCAGCACTTGGAACATGAGAACTCCAATGAGGTCCAGGACAGGGTCAATGCCCACCCCTGCAACTACTAACATTGGGTTTCCCTTTCCAGTTGGAATATAACTATAAAAAGCAAACTGTGGGGGCCAGTGAGATGGCCGGCAAGTAAAGACACTTGCTACACAAGTCTAGCATCAAGTAAAGGTGGGAAGAAGGAGAGAACCGACTCCACATAGTTGTCTTCTGACCTCTGTGTATGCTGTATGGCACATGCATATACTCTTTCTCTCTCTCTCTGTGCGCGCGTACACACAGTGTGGAGGTCAGAGGACAACTTGTGGGGTTCTATTCTTCTGCCATGTTACAGGGTTACAGGGATTGAGCTCTGGTCATCAGGAGTGGCAGCAAATATCCTTACCCACCTAGCCATCTCTTAAGCTCATAAATAATTTTTTTTTTTTTTTTTTTTTTTTTTTTTTGAGACAGGGTCTCACTACGTAGCCCTGGCTATGCCAGAACTCACTGTGTAGACCAGGCTAACCTCAACCTGGCAGGGGTCCTCCTGTTGTGTCCTTGATTAAAGACTTGTGCTACCACACCCAACTCCCCATTGTGCTTATTCATAAATGAGACTCCCAGTTGGGGTCACATCACAGTGCAAGTGCTAGAAGCAGGGCGAGAATTTAGGTGCCCAGTTCGTGTTTTATGATAATATTTTTTAAAAGTTCTTGTCCTTATTACTTGTTATTGTTGTTTGAGACAGGTCTCACTGTGTGGTCCTGGCTGGCCTGGAACTTGCTCTAAGACATGGCTAGCCTGGAACACAGAGAGTTCCACCTATCTCTGAGTCTAGACCTCTGGAAGTAAAGCTGATTCTGGGGATCAAATTCAGGTTGCCAGGCTTACATGGGAATTGCTTTTACCTGCTGAGCCATATTATTGGCCCCTATTTTGTGGTTTTTTTTTTTTTTTTTTTTTTTTTTTTTTTTTTTTTTTTTTGAGGCAAGGTCTTTCACTGGAACTTGGAGCTACCAGATTAGGTGAGGCTGGCCAGCAAGCTAGCCAGTCCCAGGGATCCATTTATTACTTCTTCCTGGATGCTGCAATTACAAGTGCTTGCTACCATTCCCTTCTTTTGGGGGTGGGGGTGAGTGCAGGGGATTGAATTTAGGCCCTCAGGCTTACATGCACACTTTATAGACTAGGCCATTTCCCCCAGCCCTCAATTCTGGTTTTTTAGACTTGAAAGTTTCAGTTATATGAATTAGCTTAGCAAATAGCTGCCCCATCAATGAGAATTAGTGATGTTTATACTCGTTAGTGTTTGGGTATGATAATGTTTCTGCCATTGCAAAATCTTTTCTTTTTTTCTCCCTAGCTTTAAAGCCAAAATTTGCAGAATCTACAGAAATTTCAGAACTGTCCCATAATTTTGTTATGGTAAATCTGGAGGTAAGATTTCAAGAGGTTCCCCCCACTCACCTAACACACACATATACCTCCCCTGTGAGGTACTGTTTTAGATTTAGTATAAAGTGATACTGGACAGAACTGCTACTTGTATATGTTGTTTTTCCTCTTGACCTCTAATACTAAGGTTTAGATGAGAGCTGTATTAGAAAGCCATCTGGCATTTGAGAGGAAGTAGAGATAGAGAATTTGAATAAGTGCTTAAAATTTGGAGTCTTCATCCTTAGCTCTTGATTATATTTTACATTTCCATATAGCTTTTCTATATAGGTAGTCATATATAGGGGCCTCAACATTCTGTAAATTATGATTCCATTGAGCGCCTACTAAATGCTTGGCCGTGGTAGCATATGTGTAGCCTTCCTGTTTCCTCGTGGAAGCATCTTTTACATACTTCACACAGAATTCAGGTCCTGGAATCCTGACTGTTAGAATATAAGTCCTAGACTTAGAAGGGAGTGTTTAGGTCATTGGTATTGTTCCCATTTCATAGAAAGGCACGAAATCAAGTGTGATTTTGTCAAAATCCTAAGAGCCTGATAAGTGAGAAAATACAGTGACCAAGATGTGCTCCCTTCCAGGCCGTACTCTTCAAGTATGGTACCATGTAGTACTTTACAATGATGCTTCTAGACATGCGTGATTGTTTGCTTAAACGTGGGTCCAAGAATCTTCTGAACATGTAAACAGTCAACATTGAAGCATCAAGCATGTCCCTAGTGGATAGCCCAGTGCTAATTAAAGCAGTTTAAATAAATGAGCCTACTTTTTAAATATATAATTTTTTAATTTTATGTTCATTGGTGTTTTGCCTGCATGTATGTCTGTATGAGGGTGGCAGAAGCCCTGGAACTGGAGTTACAGACAGGTGTGAGCTGCCTTGTGGATGAGTCCTGTGGAAGAGCAGCCAGCGCTCCCTCCAGCCCCCATAAATGGCTCTCTCTATTTAATCCCTGTAATGGGAACCTTGCCACACGCTATAAAATTACTGTTTATTTCCTATGAACAGTATCTTATTACTTTCTGAGGTAAACTGGAATTTCTCATTCATAGAGGGCAAGATGCCTCCAATGAATATTCTCCAACTTCAGAAAATGTAGTCACAATGTCATTTTTTACTCATTCATTCAGGAACTACTGTGTATGAGTCAGTGATACAGGATTGGGAGTGCAGCCGCAAACAAAACAAAATTCCCTTAACATTCTGGCATGGGAAAACAAGTAAAATGAAATATACCAGATGGTGTTTAATGCTGTGGCTGAAAGTTAAGGGTGAAGGAGATAAGATTACTAACAGTTTAAAACAGGCCGCTAGGAAAGAAGACTATATTTGATCAGAAATCAGAAGTAGAAAGGGGAGTGAACCTGGTGGATGGTGGGGAAGTATGTCCAGCCAGCACAAGCTCAGAAGCCCAAGTTATAAGTGTGTCTGGCTTGTTGGATGACAGTTAGAATAAGCAGGCTCGTGTGGCTAAAGATATCTGAACAAGGTAGAACACGAAGTTTAAGAAGCGTTAAGGGAACACGGGCAGGTCATGGAGAGCCCCCTGGCTTGTGCAAGCCTGGGGTCCTCTGAAAGGTTTTGAGGAGAGGAAGAATATGTTCTTATCTAAGACTTATATTTAATCTTAACAGGATGAGGAGGAGCCCAAGGATGAAGATTTCAGCCCTGATGGGGGTTATATTCCACGCATCCTTTTCTTGGGTAAGGCAAAAGAACCTATTGGATGACTCAGGATAAGATGTTGGTAGGGAGAAATGATAAGCATTGGAATTATACTGGTGATAAACTGAAGTGTCCAAAAACCAAGATTCGAGATTAAGGGACCTGGGGCAAGGTGCTGGGTGCCTACAATTCTAGCATTGGAGGATCATGTGTTTGAGGCTGGCTTAGGCTGCAGAGAGATCTTGTAGTGGCAGTGGGAAGAGTATGAGTGAGCATGAACAAGCTTTTCCCATTAAATAACTGCTTCCATAGGGAAGCACACAGAATGTGACCTTCCATTGAGTCATTCATAGTCATTTGGACATCACCCATAAATCAAACATGGTGTTAGACATTAGGGATAGATGAATAGTTTCCACCTCGGGTTGTATGCAACTAAACCAATGGAAGAGCATCACCAGGCATGTGTCTTTCAACACTTTTTGTGTTGTTTTTTTTTTTAAAGACAGAGTTTCTCTGTGTTACAGCCTTCACTGTCCTGGAACTTACTCTGTAGGTCAGTCTGGCCTTGAACTTGTAGAGAGATCTGCCCAATTCTGTCTCCCAAGTGCTGGGAAAGGTGTGCATCACCACACCCAGCTTTGTCTTTCAAAAGTGGTGGCACACATGTGTGATCCCAGCCCTGTGAGGCAGAGGCAAGAGAATCAGGAGTTAAAGGCCAGCCTCAGTTGGAAGTTTGAGCTGGGTGGTGGTGGCACATCTCTTTTATCCCAGCACTGGGGGGGCAGAATCAGGGAGACCTCTGAGTTTCAGGCCAGCCTGGTCTGAGTTCCAGGAAAGCCAGGGCTGTCTCAAAACAAAAACAAAAACAAAATAGAAAATTTGAGGTCATCCTAGAATACATGAAGCCCTATCTCAGAAACAAACAAACAAACAAAAAAAATTAATATACAGAAAAATTTTTTCCAGATTTAATGGATGATACAAATAAGGAAATGTGTGATATAAATATATTTATCAAGCACAAAAGGAACATTCCATAAAGGGGGTAGCATGGTAAGCTATGTTCAAGGAAGTACATGGAGTTTTTTTACAATTTTAGTATGAATTTCTAAAAGCCGGTGGTGAAAGAATGAGCTACAGAGACAGGCCTTATCTCCTGAGGGCCTTGAAGTACCTTTCTGTTGAAATTACTGCAATCCTCACACATTTGTTTTTAATAGATCCCAGTGGCAAGGTGCGTCCTGAAATCATCAATGAGAGCGGAAACCCCAGCTACAAATATTTCTACGTCAATGCTGAGCAAGGTACAGTTCTAAGAGAAAGGAGGCAGAATGGTTGATCCTGTGCAAGATCTGTGGCCGGACTGTTTCTATAAGTGTGTTAGCTAATCATCTCCCACATGACTAGCTTTTGGCTAGATTCAGATACAATTGAAAGATAAAACTGAACCTTTTCCAGCTTCTTAGAGTCCAGTGGAAGAGCTAATAACTGTTTAAAAGCTGAAGGGCTGAAGCTCATGGAGGCAGTTATTGGCTTCTGGCCTCAGTTAATAAGCCAGAGTTGCATTTGATTTGTTTTGTTTTTCCATCGCAACTAAACATTCTTGTAAGAATCCAGAGGAAGAGGAATGCAAACTGTTCGCTGAGTAAGCAAGCCAAAGCAGTTTCATAGATATTAAATTAAATGGACAAGCAACATAAGAATTTGTCTTTGGCTCTGGCAAGATGGCTCAGTGGGTAAAGGCTTAAGGAAAGACAGAGGCAGCCCAGGTGTCTTCTGCATCTCAGGGAACCCTCCCATGCACTCATTTGCACTTCCAGGAGGGCAGGGATGTCAGTGCAGGTCTATGAGTGGTGGCCCTGCAATGGCAAGGTAGGAGCTGGACTGAGCCAGTCTCTCTTGGGATCAGTTCCTTTCATGGTGTGCACGTGCATACGTGTTTGCTCACACATCTTCGTTATCTCTACAGGGAATGTGATAAATGCAGCAGTCATATCAAAGGCATAGAGGGGCAACAGGAAGGTTCCCTCTTCCCTGCGTGTCAAGTGAGCATGTGCAGTCACATTAGGGGTTAGCCAAAGTAACAGCATTTCTGTAGGTATTAATAGTTTATGGAATAAGTTTTGTAACTGTCAGATATAAGTAGCATTCTCTCCATTTATAGGCAGGGAAAAGAGATCCATGACACAATAGACAATAGGGCTGAGTCTAGAAGTAGATGTTGAGTTCGGGTCTTATGCTCTTCTGCTATCTCTCCTAAAACATTTAAAGTCTGTGTTTGTTGTCACGTGTCAGGTACTAAAGACGGTCCATACTTACCCCACCCTTTACCTCCATTCCAGTTGTTCAGGGGATGAAGGAAGCTCAGGAGAGGCTGACAGGTGATGCCTTCAGAGAGAAACACCTTCAAGATGAACTGTGACACAAAGGAGTATTCTGGAAGAAAAGCAGAGGGGAGGGAACCAACCCAGAACAGTCACACCACCAGGAAACCAGGCTTCTACCTACACTGGGGGAGCTCTCACTGTGGAAGAGGCGTGCTAACCAGGCTGGTCTGTGCATCCAGCAGCATGGCCCACTGCGTTCTGCTCCTCCTCTCCTAAATATCCATTCCTTTGAATGTAAAGGATGAAGCTATCTGATACAAAACTTGAGCCACTTGGAGATTTACTCCATGTCAGTATTTATGTCTTTACCCATTTCCTCCTGCTGTGCTCACACTGAACGGAGACGGGAAGTATCTTTTCTATAGTGTTTTTTAAGAAGACATTCTCCTGTTCTCTTGGTGATAATCCTGGGCTTCTTCCTGAATTCCTGTGCCGTTCCTTCTCTGCTCAGGCCTCCCTGCTTGCACGAATGTGTGTGGAGAATGGCAGTGCGCTGGGACTCAGCCCCAACCGGAAGCATGCTTTCCCTGTTGCTGTTAGAGAAACTCAAGCCTTCAAGCCCTGTGTGGAGCCATTTTGTCAATTCATCAACTGTATTTTTGTACTGGGGTTAAAACAAAAGATATTAATTATTTCATTAAGCTTTAATAAAACTTTGAGTGGAAAGATGCTATGGTGGCCTTTTGTTATTAGAAAGGGAAGAAGGGTTACAGTGGAGGGTGAGGAGGAAAACTGGCCTAGGACCTGTGTTCCCCCACCTACATCCAGGTGAACACCAGGGCATGTCCTTTGTTGTTGTTATTAAGGGTAGAATCTTATGTTGTCCAGGGTCCTTAAAAACTCTCCCATATCAGCCTCCTGAGCTCTTGGAAGAAAGACGAGGGCCTGAGTTCCCTCTGCCCTACTATCACTTTGAGCATAGCACAGGCCTTTTCTCTATCCTGGATTTATTGCAACAGCCCTGTAACTTGCCTGCTTGCCTGTGATACTCTCTCCTGCAGCCCATCTTATTTGTCTTCCTCAGAGTGACCTTTTCAGGACACTAATTTATGTCATTTCCTTGCTAAAAACCTTTCCTACTACCTTCAAGATTATGTACTCCCTTAAAAATGTTGAGGTCTTCAGACTGCCAGGCATCTGCTAATTGCTCCTGACAGCCCTGAAAAAGGTACAGAATACTTTTGATTCTTGTGTATATGAGTGCATCTGTGCATGTGTGTGCCACGTATGTGAAGGTACGTACAGAGGCAGAAGAGAGCATCAGAACTCCAGGAGCTGGAGCTTCGGGCAGTTGTAAGCCTCCTGACATGGGTTCTGGGAACTGAACTCTGGTCCTTTGGAAGAGCAGCAAGAACTCTTACCACCAAGTCACCTTTCCAATCCCGCCCCACTTTTTTCTTTACTTTTTAAGACAGGGTTTCACCGTATCATCTTGGCTGGTCTTAAACGTCACACAGATCAGGCTGGCCCGGAACTCAGAAATCTACTGCTTCCCAAGTGCCTTGAGTAAATCTGTGCTCTGCCATGTAGATTCTTTTTTTTTTTTTTTTTTTTTTTTTGAGACAGGGTTTCTCTGTGTAGCCCTGGCTGACCTGGAACTCACTCTGTAGACCAAGCTGGCCTCGAACTCACAGAGATCACCTGCCTCTGCCTCCCAAGTGCTGGGATTAAAGGCATCACCACCAATGCCTGGTGAAGGTAGGTTCTTTTTTATTGGATCTCTTTAAACACCATCAACCGGCCTCATTTATAGGAAAGAGAATGTCGGAGGATGGAGTGTGATCAGTCCTTAGGTCCTAGACCACATAAACACTGGATTTTAACCACAAAGGTCTGACTGCAAACCCCTGTTCTCCTACCATGACATCTCTGCATTCTGAGGTGACTCACTGGAACAGTTGGTTTCAATCTGGGGCGTAGTAGGAAAGTTTCTAGTGCATCAACATCTTTAGTGACTCTATATCTTCATGCTCTGAAAAATTATTTCCCCAAAAAACTGAATTGTAGAATTAACACATGTGCCAGCAATTCCACTTGGGAATGTAACAAAAAGATTTAAAAATAGACCCTTGAGTGGATATTTCTACACCCATTTTCAAGGCGGTATTATTCACAAGGCCTGAAAATGGAAGCAGATTATGCCAGCCGATGAGTAGATGAATTACAAAAAAGAAAGAAGGAAAGGAAGGAAGGAAGGAGTGGGGCAGGTAGGATGGCTCGTTGAGCTATGGTGCTGAGTTACATATCTCCAGACTCCACATGGTGGGAGGTTCTCTGATCCCTCTCATGACCATAGCCCCTGCTTCTCAGCGGAGCAGACCTAGACCTCCATAACAAGAAAGAAAACAGTAGTAAAGCAGCTCTCGGCATCCCCTCTGTCTGCCAGGTCTTCAGCTGGGTCCTAGGAACACCACATACTACTGAGTGTAAGATCTGTGCTAAGCATATAATACCATGACTGCTGAGGAGAAAAAAGTTACAAGCTCAGTGACTGAGACTGCTCGATAACCTTCCAGAGAAATCTTCCAAGTTTAGTTTCCAGCGTTCAAGTCAGGAGTCTCACGACTGTTAGGGTCCTCGAGAGGACCCCCATAGACGACCACCAGTCACGATGCAATTAGCAAGAGCGGTTTTTTTTATTATACCACATGCATGTGGGGTGGTACACACCTGTACAAAATGGCAACAATGGCCTGGAGAGGGACGGGTAAACTTTAAAGCCCAGCTGTAGGATTCTATTTAGGATTGGCGTGCCCAAGTGGCAATCATATCAGTACATTTCTAATTGGTTGGGGCTAGCAGGTGGGCTAGGGCTATAGTTTTTTTTTTTTTTTTTCCATTGGGCAAATCTGGACAAGTCCCAGGCTTTGTCCTTATTGGTTATCACCTGGTGCAGGAGTGGGGTTTGTCCCAGGCCTAGGACTTGCAAGAATTGAGGCCTTGTTCTTAAGTGAGTTATTAGGGGCCTGCTACGATATTTGCCCGGCACTCTCAACAACCAGGGATCTGATGATACCTTTGTTCTCCTGGCATCTGAACTCATGAACACACACACACACACACACACACACACACACACACACACACAATTAAGAGTAACATAAATATTAAAAAATAACGTAACACCAGGGAGCCTTCATGGGACTGACCTAGGCACTCCACGTATGTTACAGTTGTGTAGCTTGGTCATCTCGTGTGTGGGACTCCTAACAGCAGAAACGAGTTGTCTCCTACTCTTACTGGCTTTTGGAACCCTACTCCTCATACTGGATCACTTTGTGCAGCCTTAAAACATGGGGAAGTGCTTAGACTTACTGCATCGTGACTGTCATGCTTTATTGATACTCAAGGGAGACCTGCCCTTTTCTGGATGGAGACGGAAGAGGAGGGGATTGGGGAGTGGGATGGGGGATGGTGGGTAGGCTGAGGCCAGGATGTTAAAAAAATAAATAAGTTACAAACCATCCATTTGGTGTATTTCAAAAGCTGCAATGTTTCTTTTATCAATGAGAGAAGTTAGAAAATCCTTCCCATCCCAAAGCAGCAAATACAAACACTTCCCTGAGAGTCACCAGCACACATAGGGTACATCCTAGAAAAGGGTGAGACAGCTTTCTTTTGCCCACCTTTATCAGTTTCATCAGAGGGTGGAGAGAAAAGGCTGCTTTCCAAAGGGAGTATGTTATTCAGCAAGGCTTTTCCAGGTGGGGAACACATTTGCTAAATGATTCAGGGATTAGAATGGAGCCTCCTCCCCCACAGCTGCTGAATGGTTAATGAGTTAATGTAAACAAATGACAAATTTAACTCCCCACCCCTTCAAAAACTAGCTGTAGGAGGAGAACACTAGACTATCCCAGATTCCTCTCTAAAGGCGGAGCAGCTTTAACAGGTGGAATTAACAACCTACTGAGCCTAGTTTTTAAGCTAACCAAGTCTTTTTCTTTCAGAACAGCAAAAGCCAGTACTGCTAACTTGTTTGAAAGCCCACCTTTACTCAAAAATGGCCAGTCCTGGGAGAGCAAAGGAAGGCTGCATACACAGGCCCTGCTCTCACACAGTGCATTGAGTGGGTTCAGGACATTTGTCTTTGTAACCTGAATGCATTTTAATTGTTAACCTCTCCTTGGAGTTTTAACCAGTGATTTTAGTATGACATCACCACCAGGAAGGGCTCAGGAGAGAATTTCACAGAGAGACACACTGCAGCTCTTTGCTTCCAGAGGCTTCAGAGTAGTACCTAGAGCTGGTCAGACCCATTCTCCAGGCTTTTCTGTGTTAGGCCTGAGAGGGCCACATATTGACAGCTGAAATGAAATATCAATGAACAAATGGAGAAACTGTGGTCTATTCATACAAAGGGTACTACACACAATAGAAAAGAAGAAACTGCTGATTTTGCAAGACATGAATGAATCTTTTTTAGGGAGTAGGGGGGATGGTTCAGGACAGGGTTTCTCTGTGTAGCTTTGGAGCTTGTCCTGGAACTCACTCTGTAGACCAGGCTGGCCTCGAACTCACAGAGATCCGTCTGCCTCTGCCTCCCGAGTGTCGGAATTAAAGGTGTGCACCACCACCGCCCAGCTCATGAATCAATCTGAAAAACATGCAGAGTGAGAAGTCAAACTGAAGCCAGAACTTTTAAGTGAAACTATAGCACACTTAGAATTATTGACACTGAGAAGCAGATCCGAGGTTGCCTGGCATTGGGGCTGGGGATGAGTAGGAAGTGACTGAAAAGGCCATAAGTGAGAATTGTGTCCATAGAAATGCTGATTGTGGGCAGTGCTGGTACCCAACGTCAATCCAGCACTCAGGAGGCAGAGGCAGAGGCAGAGGCAGAGGCAGATGGGTCTCTGAGTTTGAGGCCAGCCTGTTCTATAGAGTGAGTTCCAGGACAGCCAGGACTACACAGAGAAACTCTGTCTAGACAAGTCAAAATAAACAAAGAAATGTTGAGGTGTCAACACAAAACACAGCTCTTCCATGAAAGGAAAAGAGGAGTTGTTCATTGAGCCAAATATGTAGCCTGGAAACATGGATTCCAGTCGCCCCAAATAACATGTTCCAATGTGGAAATAGTTTTGTGAGGTTTTAAATAATTACAGAACAAAAGAAAGCCACAAGTTAGGGCACGTTCAAAATATAGTGGTGAGAGTGGGAATGTAGTTCAGTTGGTAGACAGCTAGCTTAGGGTTCCATCCCCAGTAATACGTAAAACCAGCATGGCAGACACACTGCCATCCCAGTACTCAGGAGATAGATGGAGGCAGGAACATCAGAAGTTCCAGGGCATCTTTGACTATATAGCAGGTTCAAGGACTTGGGCAATGTGAAAACTCGCCTCAAAACAAACAAATAAAATTCTGTTACATAGGAACATCAAGTAAGCAGGTTACAACAAAGGGGGCAGATCTATGCTATGGATCTCAATTACTATCTGAAGATATCCTTTCTTTTTAGATTTATTTTAAGTATGTGAGTGATGTGTGTGCACTTGTATGCATGCCAGAGGAAGGCATCATATCCCATTATAGATGGTTGTGAGCCACCATGTGGGTGCTGGGAATTGAACTCAAGGCCTCTGGAAGAGCAGCCAATGCTCTTAACTGCTGAGCCATCTCTCCAGCCCCCTGATAACGTTCTTAGGTTTTGATTTTTTTTTTAAG